TGGGGTTTTTTGGTCTTGGCTCTGGTACTCAGTGCACAGTGAAGAGCAGTCTGATCTCCCACCCGCCCAAGGGGCTGGAGGGGAGAAGGGAAGGAGGTTGGATTGGGGACAGGTAATCTTACTAATCTAGTAGTAAGGGGGACACTCTAGTAACAAAAGGGGGACAGTCTCCTTTTGTCTAGGACTCTTGAGGGGGCGTCTGGGCCACTACCAGTGGCTGCAGGAGTCGGGATAGAGGAGGGTATGCTGAAATGTTTCTAATGGAACCCAAGCAGTTCTCAGTGTGCTGCCTATGGGGGAAGAGAGAGATGGAGCTGAGACTTTCTCCTTCCCCTTATCAAGTATTCAGAATACCCAGGCCACGGGTTACCACCACAGCCTCCCTGCTGGGAGCCGGCAGCCCTTGCTGGGAACAGGGTAAAGAGAAAGTAAAGTATTGCCTGAGAATCCTCTGCCCACCTTCAAGGTTATGTCCACAGGCAGGAGAAGGACAATTGACGATTGTTCTCCCTTCCAGTTTCTCCCCTGGGAAGGGCCTGTTGCTACTTTTGTTAAGAGAGCCTTGAGGAAGCACTTGGGTCCCTGAGGCTTCACTCCTCAGTTCTCCATTGCCTTCTTTGTCAGATCTCTCTGCCACTCAGTCAACCTTTGACCGCCCTCCCTCCAGGACTGAATCAAGCATCTTGGCCTATTTCCTTAACTTCTATTGTGGATCCTTCCATCTGTCACCTCCCAGCCGTGGGACTGCTGCTCCTCCACCCCTCCATCCCTGACCCAGTTGTACCACCAGATTCGGATTCAGCCCGTGCGCTTTCTTCACCTGGCATTGTGGTCTGTGAAACGGAACATGCCTGGACTCTCCAGGAGGCTCGTGTTGGCCATTTTTAATTCAGTGTCTAATATTTAGTATAAATTAGAATACCAGAAAGACATCCTCATGCCAAATATAAACTCACTTGTAGTTTTTATATTATAGCCTCACCTTGACTTTAGAAGTAAAATTGTTTCCTCAGGGTGGAGAGGCTGGTTTTTGGTATGTGTCACTAAGCTAACATCTTTGGTTGATTGGACTGAAGATGGTTATTAACATGATGTAAATTATTGAACACCACCCTAAGAGGCCTGTCCTAAGAGGCACCTGACTCCTTCATTCCCACCTATAACTGTTTCTCTTGGAGTAGGGCAGGGACATTAGCCTTGAGCTCACTTCACTGGAGATAGACTATTTAGGACACAGACTGGGGTCCCAGGTGTTAGGCGGCCTCTCTCCCATTGTCAGGGTTTAGTGCCAGCCCAGGGCTGGATATTTTGTTTTGGCACACCCCAGGCGATCTTCCAGGAACCTTTCTGCTGAACATAAAGGCATGGAGCACAGGGTTTCAGATGGGGAAGAAAGGAACTCCAGTGAGCAGTGACCTCCCATTCACTCCTCCTCCCAAGCTGAGGTCTGAGCCCTGCCTTGGGAGAGGGTAGCTATAGGGATGGGGCTCCTAGCAGAATCACATTACTGTCTCCCTGTCTGTGTTCTCATCCTTCCTCCTCTGCTTTTCCTTTCATTTCTTATGTGTCCTTAGTGCTTTTGGAAGGCCTAAAGCATGGCTATTCCATAGGACTAACTGGAAAGCCTCCCAGATGTGGGGCTCCCTCTCCCCAGTGCTCAGCCTCCCCTTCTGCTGTGGACCAGGAGCAGGGCTTCTCAGGTCGGTCTCTTCTCTGTGACTTGATTTCCCTGAGGTGCCTGCTCTTTCGGTTCTTCCTTAGAGAGCCCTTTGCTTTGTGTTCTATTGTGTGTTTTCTTAGCTTTCTCCCTTTCATTTGGGTTTCTCATTTTATTCTTTTGTATCTTGTACTTGTAGGGTCTGGGCCCTTTAGTCTGAATTGATCTGGGGAACAAGTAAGAAAAGTAATCTTGGATTAATTGAAGAGGGCAGATCTGGAGAAAGCAAAGAATTAAAACATCTGGGTTGTGTTGGTGGTCATTGATCAGACTCAGGGCTTCTGTTTAGAGGTAGTGTCCGCCTTTCCACCTTTGTCACTTCTCCCTGAGGCTGGCTGTTGTGTTTGTGGCTGCGTGTAGAGCTTGTCAGTGGAGTGCTGTGACAGGAGGCTATTTTAATAAACTGTTGCAGTTTCTCTCGAGCCGAGCTGCGTTGCATTGGCATCCCTCATCACTGCTAATGGAGCGTGTGTGCGTGGCTGGGTGTAGGCCGAGAAAGGAGGCTGAGCTTGCCTGGGGCTGGGGGCTGGGGGAGAAGGGGAGGAGGTCTGGGATGCTGGAGAGCCTTGCTTTATCTGGGAGTGCTCCTGCACCAGCCAGACCTGGGGACTGTGGGGTGGCTATACCCTGGGCAATGGGTCCCTGCCCTGGAAGTGCTGCTGGCATGGACACTTTCCAAGCTCTCTTCTTATTTCTATTCATAGCACTGCAGGCTCCTGTATATGGTGGGGAAGAAAACTTCCACTTGCCCCTGAGCTCCATAAATAATAATAATTAAAAAAAATAGAACCAGAAAAAGAGAGAGTGTGAGGGCCCCAGAGAAAGACTGAAACCAAAACAGAGAGAGAAGGCGCAGCTGCTTCCCCAAAGCCTTCTGGGGTTCCCACCCGCCTGCCAGCCCGCCAGAGTCTGGCCTTTATTTATTTATTTTTCTGGCTAAAAAAAAAAAAATCCAAGTCTTCCTCAATCCCAGCCCCCAATTCCACCCCCAAATTTGCTGGGTGGCTGCTGCCAAATGGACCCGAGTGGGAGCCTGGAATGAAAAATTCATAACTGCTGGACTTTGCTTGTTCATTAGACATGAACTTGTCGATTGGGCAAATTGTTTTTGGTCTCCAACTGCCGGGGGCTCTCCCCACCCTCCCTGCTCACCCAGTTCCCTCCTCCCCTTGGATGCAGTCATTGGCTGCTCCGGGATGTCTCTTTGCCAAATAGGTGGATCCTTCTCTCTCTCTTTCTGCCTCCCTCTCTCTTCTCTTCTCTCTCTCTCTCTCCCTCCCTCCCTCCCTCCCTCTTCTCCCCCTCCTTTTACTGGCTTGGCACAAGCAAATGGATGGGGATTGAGCATGAAAGGAGAGAGAACGAGGTAGTTGAGAGGAGAAAAGGAGGAAAAAAAACCCCAAACCCAACCAGCATGTGTGTGTGTGTGCGCGGGCGCGCGCGTGTGCGCGCCCGCGAACACACACACACATATGCACGCACACACACGGCCCCATCCCGTCCACGTCTTCCCTCGATCCTCGATCTCTCCCTCCCCCCTTCTTCCTTCCCTCCCTCCCTTGCTCCCTCTCTCTCTTTTGCACGCGTCTGCCAGCAACGGTCTGCAGCCGGTCAGAACTCGTCCTCTTCCCCGGGAATCTGCGAGCTCCCCCTTTCCCTCCGATCAGGCGGAGGAAGGCAGCTTGAAGTTTACACCCCTGTGCCGCTGCCAAAGCCGAAAGCCTTTTTCTTCAACTGCCGCTTTTTCCCTCCTGGTTTTTGTTTTTGTTTTTGTTTTGCACGGGGTGGTGGTGGTGGTGGTGGTGGTAGAGTGGGGTTTGTTGTTGTGGGGGGTTGGAAGGTTGGTTTTAATTTTTAAATTTTGCATATTTTTCTTCTTCTTTTTTTTAACTAGGAGAGGATGTACAGGGGGAGAAATTGGAAAAAAACATTTTTTTGGTTGGCTTTTGTTTACCTGGTGTGTGTTGCAACCAGCTCTCTCCTTCTCTCTGCTTGCTATCCCTGACCTTTCTTTCTTTTTGCTCCTTTTCAAAAAAAATATTAATTTCCCCCTTCTGTGCAATGGAGCATGGGGGGGGAGGAGGGGGAAGGATTTGAGAATCCACCCAAGCCCGGCCCCTATTCCCCAGAACACCAATAATAACCCCCTTTAAAACATTTACCTTCCTCCCCTGCTCCTCCTCCCCCCTCCCCCCACCCGCCCCCAACTCACAACTCTGTTGAGTCCAGAATCTCAGAATCGGGCGTTGGGCTTTGCCGGGTGCTTCAGATCAATGGTAATTATTTAATTTTTTCCAGTTTTATTTTTGTAAACAGAAATCAATTATTATTTAAACTTCAAACAACCAAACAAGCAAAAAAAAGAAAAGAAAAGAAAAAAAACAAACAAAACCGAGAGAGCCCAGCCCTCTGTCACCTGACTGAGTGGGAAAGAGGGTGAAGGGGTAGTGGGAGGCTGGGGAAGGGGTCTCAAGAAGACCCATGTAGCTTTTAACCCTAATGTGGCCGAGACAACCACCTTATTTGTGCTAACAAGAAGTGTTTTGTTCATTATTACTGTGATTAACATTAGTATCGGTGTTGATAACAAAGCTGAAATCACATATTTGAGATTTAGATCTGATTAAAAAATGCTGGGGTGAATGTTCCAACTGGATCAGGAGAAAAGAAAATGAAAACAGCTTGTGGAGAGGGACGCCAGATCCATTTCTTCACTCGCTCGCTTGTGGATGTCATTTTCTCTTTTCTTGGGGGCGGCCAAAAATCGGCCGGTGTCAGGGATGAGAGGCAGCCCCGCACGCCCCCGCGTGCGCGTCTATGGGAGTCTGTGCAGACGGACACCGCGCCGGGGCGAGCTGACAGGAGTTCACGGCTGCGATAGAACATGGAGATGTCATGGGCGCGACAGAGCCTGGCGGGGATACCAGCAGCGTGTGTGTGTGGACGGCAACGTTGTCTGTGCGCGCGTGTGTATGAGTGAGTGAGGGAGAGAGAGAGAGAGAGAGAGAGAGAATAGGTGTGTGTACAGGCTCCCGGTGCCTCTGTCTGGCTGCTGAGGCTGAGATGGGAGCAAGTGGCTGGCGAAGCTGGTGGTGGCTTCAAACCACACTTTTGTAGAACAATCGCAAGAGAAAATTGTTGGGGGAGAGGGAGGAGGAGAAGGTAGTTTTCCTTGTGCCCCCCCTTCTAACGCTGTTTCTCTCCTTTTCTCTTTCCCCCTCATCCCGTCTTCCCCTCCTCCCGTCCTCCCTCGCCCCGCATGCTCCCGGCTTGCCGCCTGCAGGATGAGTTCCACCCGTTCATCGAGGCACTGCTGCCTCACGTCCGCGCCTTCTCCTACACCTGGTTCAACCTGCAGGCGCGGAAGCGCAAGTACTTCAAGAAGCACGAGAAGCGGATGTCGAAGGACGAAGAGCGTGCGGTGAAGGACGAGCTGCTCGGCGAGAAGCCCGAGATAAAGCAGAAGTGGGCATCACGGCTGCTGGCCAAGCTGCGCAAAGACATCCGGCCCGAGTTCCGCGAGGACTTTGTGCTGACCATCACGGGCAAGAAGCCCCCCTGCTGCGTGCTCTCGAACCCCGACCAGAAGGGCAAGATCCGGCGGATTGACTGCCTGCGACAGGCTGACAAGGTGTGGCGGCTGGACCTGGTGATGGTGATTTTGTTTAAGGGGATCCCCCTGGAAAGTACTGATGGGGAGCGACTGTACAAGTCGCCTCAGTGCTCCAACCCCGGCCTGTGCGTCCAGCCACATCACATTGGAGTCACAATCAAAGAACTGGATCTTTATCTGGCTTACTTTGTCCACACTCCCGGTAGGTTGCTATCAACCTTCTTTTCCCCTATTTTATTTTACTTGATGGAATTTGTTCTGTTTATTGTTCCTCTTATTTCCAAATGATAACACACTATGGGCCTAACTGGGACGCGTGTCCCGCCAGGGCCTGCATCACATTCCATGTTGCCCTTTTCCTTTCCCCTTCTTCTGTCTTCCCCCTCCCTGCTCCATTCTTCCTCCTCTGCTTCCTGGTGGGGTTACAGACTTTGTGCCTCTCCACCTTTTGAGGACTCATCTGATCAGAAAGATCCTACTACCGGGGACCAGGATGCCCCGGGAATTTTCTACGATGGTGAGAGTTTGAGATGAATAACCAAAATCAATCATCATGCTTATTAAAATACGTCAGGAGAAGTATTGGAGGGTAGTTGCTAGCTTTCTTGAGGCTTCACCTCAAGTCCCAGGAAAAGCCAGATTTGGTTCAAACGGGGTGGGCAGCAGTTCGATGGAGAGAAGGGGCGTGTGAAAACCGTGGATATGAGATGGAATGAATAGAAAAGAGGAAAGAACATACTGTGGGCAGATCCTGGGGCCTAGATGCCCAGGTGGGAGCTATTGGGGCTGTTTTGGAGTTTGGGCTGTCAGAAGATATGAAAGTAATTTGATTTCATAGAGAGTGAAAACAAGCAGGCAATTCCTTGAGCTCTTCCTTGTTTCGGCTGAAGCGGCAAGACCATAGGCTGGATGCCCACAGTCCTGGCACCTTCCTCAGCTGGAGGGTGGGCAGAGAAGCTTTCCCAGGGCTCAGGCATGCGGGGAGCAGCGTTGCTGTGGAAGAGGTCTTAAACAAACACACAACAGCAACAACAACACTGTCAAATCTCCTTTTCCTTTTGTGTGCCAAGTAATTCTGGTTCCCTTCTTCACTTTTCCACTTTTACTCTGCATTTTGAGTTAGAGTGGTTTAGTTCTCCTCCTCTGGTTCTTTTTTTCTTTTTTTTCTCTTACCGTGTCCCTTTTTATAATTTCTTTCCGCTTTTGTTTTCTTACAAATTGAAACAGAGATGGCTGGTTAATTTTTAGCCTCCACTCAGCTACGCCCAATTTACTGCTGCCTTTGAAACCTAAACGGGCGGCACTCTGTGATTAAGCAAGGCAGAAGTGTGTTTACATTATACCCAACCAACTTGTAATGAGAGGGCTACCAAACCTTTCTCTCTATGTGTGTGCGTGTGTGTTTTCCTTTCCACCATTCCAGTATTTTTTTCCCCCTTCATTTCCCTTCTTCCTCTCTTTATGTGAATGTGAGAGAATGTGGCTTAACTTCAACTCTCAGAGAGGTTCTTTCCCGTGAACGTGTGTCTTCGCATCTTCCTTCCTGTTCACGCACAAAGGAGAAGAGCCACTCACAACTGCTGTGGTCACCACTTTGCCTGTTTGGGAAGTTGGGAAGAATGATATCACTGGATCCAGAAATAAAATTCAGGGTTGGGGGTGCTTTCAGCACTGCGTCAGGAACATAATCTCAGGGAGCATTGAGAGTTTGTATGTTGGAGAACCATGGGGAGGAGAAGGTGATATTTGGGGTCTCTCTGCTTGCTCATTCTCTCTTCCTGAGAGGTGGCTTTGGCCACCCCCACCACACCCTACTACCTCTATGGATCTTTCTAGGCCTGCACCCAACACTATGTGACCATCATGACCCCTCATGAAGAAAGGCCAATAACCAGTCCTTCCCTTTCCTTTCAGCTTGACTTTTTTTTTTTCCTCCTTTTTTCTTTTTGGAAAAGAGACTAGGAGGGGGAAAATTTATCTCCTCATTCTCCATCTGAGTAGCACACTAGTGTGGCATGGCTTGACCGTCAGATAGCTCCTCCACAAAAGGATTCCGCACTTTTCTGATTTTAAAGCTAGGGTCCCAAGAGCATTTATGATGAAAATCAACACTCAGTCTTCCTTCTGAGCCAGCTTCCTTCTACCTTGCTCTCTGGCTGGACCTTTGTAGCTAAGTTGTTTCCCTGGTCTCTTTTATTTTAGGCCAAATTCTTGACTGCTGCCAGTGTGGACTAAGATAGGATATAAGGTGTGTGAGGAAGGAGAGGGTTTTCTGCCTAGAAGCACCCTCCGCCCTCTCCCCCCTGTTTTCCCTTTAAGCTCTTGAAATCATTTGCCCAGGAATATGAGTGAATTCATAGCACCTTGCATGTAGCTCAGGCCACCTCTGTCTGGGCTGAGGCCGAATCTCTACAAAAGCCGAGTAGAGAACTAAAGGTGTATTTTCTATCAGTTAGGCCTTAGACTCCAGATAGTTTCAATGAAGGTAGGATTTTTCTTGCTCGAATTCCTTTATTTTAAGCATGCCTTCCTGAAGTGAGTCTGTGTAGCCTAGACTCCCAGGGGTCCTTATTGCTTGTTCCTTTTTGGGTCAGTGGTCTTGAGATGGTACAGAGTGGGCACAGCTTCCTCTTTGAGCTTTCCTAGTTTGCTAGAAAATGTCTTCAGTGGCTGAGCTACCAAACAGTAGTGATCCATGGGTGGGACTTTCCCCATGCCTGCCATGTAACATTCAGCAGAGCTGCCACATATTTCTTGCTCCCAGGATAATAAGCTGGGGGTAGTTGCTGGGGTGGCTGGTCCAGACAAGAGTTGCTTTGGACTCTAAAAGATGTGGTTTTCCTTCTTTTAAAACTGGGCTGAAGAGTCAGATCTGGGCTGAGCCAATGGTGCCAAGTTTGATGGCAGTAAAATTGACGTGAAGTTAAGCGTGATGAGGGTGTGGCTTTGTTCCCTGGTGCCATTGTCACCTAAGGTCCTCGTGGGCCTTTGTTACACCTCGGATGAAGCTGCAAAAGATGACATATTTGAGAGAGAATAGAGGACATGTATATGGCATTGATAGCACCACTCCCAGAATGGTGCTTTGAATATGGGATTCAAAAGGCTATCATAAGGCTGGTCAGGCTGCTGTCAAGGAGTGTCACTGTGTGTCTGTGTGTGTTCAGGAGAGGTTGAGGCAAGTCAGGGTCAGAGAGCATTTGCATGAGGAAGAGGAGGTCTATTTCCTGGTGATGTCCTTCCATCCGAAGCGGGTATCCCAGAGCAGGTGATGGGGCACAGAGGGAGTAGGGGAGAGCGAGGAAACCTCTGTATGAGGAAGGACTGCTGAACAGGGCCTAGAAGTGCTGCTAGACTCTCGCCAAAGCTTCTGCGGTACCTTGAAGGTAAACCTGTGTCTTTAGAGTTCCCCTGACACCTAGGGCCTTGGTCCTAGGAAAGATAAACAAATCTGAAACTAAATGCTTGACTGAATGGAACTGTCAGATGCCTTTAGTGGGCCCGGAGTGGAAGCCCATGAACTCTAGGTATGGTAGCTCTTTCCTTTATACAAGCTTCATAATGGAGTGTTTCACTCATAGAGCAATTCATCCATACCCCACCACTGCCTACCCACCCTGAGTTATTTAGAAGAAAATTTAGGTGTCAATGATTTTTATCTGTAGACATTTCTGTGTACATCTCTAAAGATAAGGATTCTTGAAAAACCAAACCACAAAACCACTGTCACACTGATTAAAAACAACACTTTTTAAAGTGTCATCAGATACCTGGTTAGTGTTCACAATTCTCTAATTATTGCCTAATTATTTTAATAGTTTGTCTGAATCAGGATCCGTATAAGGTTGTCTGTGCAGTGCAATGGATTGGTCGGTCAGTCTTTTAAGACTCATACTCTTTAGGTGGTCCTCCTCTTCTTCTTCCTTGGTCTTGGTTTTTTTTTTTTTCTGGCAATTTTTATTGTTATTTTTGCTGAAGGAACCAGGCCATTTGTCCTGTAGGGTTTCCCTGTTTGGACTTTGCAGGCTGTGCCCTGGGTGGTTCAGCTGCTCTGAAAGCAGATTCTGTCTCCTCTGCCTTCAGGTCTCGGGACAGCTGAGCTCAGCTGTACTTGCAGAAAGTAGGTTAGCACCTGAGGATTTGTCTAAGTGAACTTCTTCAAGTGTGAGGTCATCTTTCTCAGGTAGAAGAGCTTCCTGGTCTTAGCACTGTATTTCAGGGCTTGGAGCTTTGCAGTGAGCACTGGTTTTTGGGTCTGAGGGAGGACTCCTCATCCATGTCCTTACTTGGTGGTGGAGGGCATTGCTTAGCCATGTTGACCCTGCCAAGATGCAGCTGGTGCCAGCTGTGTCCCCCCAGCCTTTGCTGGATGCAGACCTCTGCCCTCTCCAGTTTCTCTGGTGCAAGGGTGTTGGAGGGACCGCAAGAATGCCAGCAGCCCTCTCAAGGTCTACCCCTACCATGGACTGTGGGCAACCTCACCCATCAGCTCATTTTTCTTTCTTTCTTTTTTTTTTTGAGACAGAGTCTCACTTGGTCACCCTTGGTGGAGGATAGTGGCGTCTTAGCTCACAGCAACCTCAAACTCTTAGGATTCTCTTGCCTCAGTCTCCCAGGTAGCTGGGACTACAGGCACTGGCCACAACACCCAATTTTTTAGAGACGGGATTTCACTTTTGCTCAGGCTGGTCTCAAACTCCTGAGCTAGCTAGGGCCATCCACCGGCCTTGGCTTCCCAAGTGCTAGGATCACAGGCACGAGCCATGGTACCATCAGCACCTTTTTCAAGGCCCAGAAATGCCACCACTCTGTGTCTTTGAGGCAGCGCCATCTGGTGCCAGGGCTGACAAAGATTGTAGGACCCAGGAGCCAGATTGGTAAAATTAACAAAATCTACAGATTATTATTTTTTTTTTTTTTGAGACAGAGCCTCAAGCTGTCCCCCTGGGCAGAGTGCCGTGGCATTACAGCTCACAGCAACCTCCAACTCCTGGGCTCCAGCGAGTCTCCTGCCTCCGCCTCCCAAGTAGCTGGGACCACAGGCGCCTGCCACAACGCCCGGCTATTTTTTGGTTGCAGCCGTCATTGTTGTTTGGCGGGTCCGGGCTGGGGATTCGAACCCGCCACCTTAGGTGTACGTGGCTGGCGTCTTAGCCAGTTGAGCTATAGGCGCCGAGCCTACAGATTATTTTTTAACCCTTT